GGGTGGTGACAGGGTCTCTTTAACTGCTATTGTGAGTCATGCATTTCTCATTTTGCATTTGGAAGCCTCTAAGCCAACAGCATGCAGATCCCAAAGCCACAGAAAATGCTTTATCAAATGAAACACCAAACAGTGCATCCAAAAATAAATTAGACCCAGGACAGGTGAGCATCTAATTCCCTGCTTATTACTGAATGTCTTGTCTTGCCTGCAGTTCTCCTTTAATGCCTATATGCATTCTATATATTCCCTCATGAAAAATTAAAAGAGCAATGTGACATTATGCACTCATTGAGGAGAACAGAGGCGAGTTAAATCCCATATAAATGTCAGGTCTTGGGGGTTAACAGTGCCTTGTGGAAATTCCTGTTAGTTGCATATATAAAATGTGCTGCTGTGCTCTAATACACCCCAAAGCAGAACAAAACCCTGTAGCTTTAGTTATGACCTAATTAAATGCTTTAGGATGTATTCTGGTATCCAGGCATGCCCCGGGGCTGATCACTGCTTAGTTAATATGGACCCGAGCATTTCTGCGACTTAATACAGCAAAAAAAAAAAAAAAAAAATGACATGCATACAATATTTGTTAAGTTCCATCCGACCTTCGTGAGAATGCGTCTATCAGCATTCGGCCACAGACGCAGACGAGGGCCAGATCGTCCTTTTTGGCAGCCGCGTCAAGGCAAATGTTCCAAAACACACTTTCGGAAACACATTTAAAATTCACACGAGAAAGTAATCTTATTTACTTTTACAAAAGAGATGTTTACTGCTATGGAAATGTTCACATTGCATTTCAGACACAATTAGGATTGTGTATTATATCAGGCATGAAACCTGGCAGGATAATGGGAGAATTCATTCCCAATTTAATCTGGTTTGTTCAGAAACAAGATGTACTGACTGAAACAAAGAAGTCAATCTTTTATATACAGTGATAGAGCTTCTTAGTGTAGGCAGTGGATTAGAAGCAGAGGTCAACTGCATAGCAAGACTTGACAATACGCAGAGAATGTATTATGATAGAATAGAGGAAATATGAACTTCTAGTTAAACTAATATTTTTCTGTTTGGGCATATTGCATATTAAGTGTAGGTTCGCAGGCAGCTCTATTGTCATGCAGCAGCCTTTAGAAAGATCCATGTAGAAACACAAGAAAAGGGTTAATGGTGAAGGTGGCAATACACTAATGCAGGCCATAGATGGGGCGAAAACCGGCTGATTTTTCTTTAAAAAAATGAAAAATCGGTCGTTCAATCGGCTGACGTTACCAGGAACGGTAAAAAAAATCGGCCGATTTTCATCCCATCTACAGCCGGCAAAAAGTGTCTCTGCAGAGAGCTCCGCTATTTCTTTGACAGTTCTTTGACATTTATAGCGGCTGCAACATTGTAATTATTTGTTTCCATTTCGGATAGAGATGTTTTTATTCGGAAACAAATAGATACAATGTTGCAGCCGCTATAAATGTCAAAGAACTGTCAAAGAAATAGCGGAGCTCTCTGCAGGGACACTTTTTGCCGGACTGGAATTCTTCTTCTTCCTCTTCTTCTTCTCCTTCTTCATCCTCCTCTTCTTCTTCTTCTTTTTCTTCTTTTTGTCTTCCTCTTGCAGGTCACTGCTCATGCGCAGATTTTTTACGGTAAAAAGATCGGCCAATTTGCCCATCATTGCCGCGAAAATCTGCTGATTTTTTTCAAACTTTACCGATAAAAAAAATCTGCCAAAATACCGAAAAAACGGCTGACCTATTAACCCACTAACGATCTGAAAATAGGCCGATTTTATTTTCGGCTGAAAAATCGGCCGATTTTTGACCCATCTATGGCCTGCATTAATACTCACAGATAATAATCATACAGATTCTGCTGTTTTTGGCTTTTGGCATTTTTTTCTACAGCCAGTAAACTCCCCAGCATGTTATCCTATGTGCCCATGCACACATAGGCTATGATCAGTGATTTTTGGCAGAGGCGTTTTTTTGGCTGGAACCTCCCCCCCCCCCCCCCCCCCAGAACTAGTGGGTTTCTAGAGGAGTTTTTTAGCTGTAAAAACGCTCTAACACTGAAAAACATGGTAAAACGCAGCTTTTTTGGATTTGTGTTTAGCAAAAAATTATTTTTAGTAAAAAAAGCTAAAAACCGCAAATGCAGAAAAACGCGGCAAAATGCGGCAAACCCCTAATGTAAAAACACTGAAAAACTTGTGTTTTTAACGTGACTTTACACAGCTAACTCTATTAGCATTATTAAAACGCCCAGTGTGCATGGAGCCTGATATGTGCCCAGAATAATTTTTATTAGTTGTTGTAGTCACCAAAGCCAACATGTTTCAGGGTACAGAAGTCATCCTTCATCAGTGCTGGAAAATGAGCTGAAATCTGCACTGGGGTTATTGATATAAATGGTGAAGATGTCAGATCAGCAGCAAGGATGACCAGATCTGCGTGGCTACATTGGAAACTGAGACCAAACCATATATATAAATATACAGTATATATAAAGTAAATGTATTAATAATAAAACAAAAGACATCCAAACACTAAACAGCTAACATAAATATATAACAGCAAGGAGGGCCAGATCTGCAAAACTACACTTAGAAATTGAGATCATAACATATATATAAGTGATCAGCATAAATGAATACACCCCTTTTGAAAAGTAAGATACTGTGTATGTGTGTGTGTGTATATACAGGTGAAACTCAAAAAATTAGAATATCGTGCAAAAGTTCATTTATTTCAGTAATGCAACTTAAAAGGTGAAACTAATATATGAGATAGATTCATTACATGCAAAGCAAGATAGTTCAAGCCGTGATTTGTCATAAGTGTGATGGCTTACAGCTCATGAAAACCCTAAATCCACAATCTCAGAAAATGAGAATATTATGAAAAGGTGCAATATTCTAGGCTCAAAGTGTCCCACTCTAATCAGCTAATTAAGCCATAACACCTGCAAAGGGTTCCTGAGCCTTTAAATGGTCTCTCAGTCTGGTTCAGTAGGAATCACAATCATGGGAAAGACTGCTGACCTGACAGTCGTGCAGAAAACCATCATTGACACCCTCCATAAGGAGGGAAAGCCTCAAAAGGTAATTGCAAAAGAAGTTGGATGTTCCCAAAGTGCTGTATCAAAGCACATTAATAGAAAGTTATGTGGAAGGGAAAAGTGTGGAAGAAAAAGGTGCACAAGCAGCAGGGATGACCGCAGCCTGGAGAGGATTGTCAGGAAAAGGCCACTCAAAAGTGTTGGACTTTCACAAGGAGTGGACTGAGGCTGGAGTCTGGCTGGAGGCTGGAGTCAGTGCATCAAGAGCCACCACACACAGACGGATCCTGGACATGGGCTTCAAATATCGTATTCCTCTTGTCAAGCTGCTCCTGAACAACAAACAACGTCAGAAGCGTCTCAACTGGGCTAAAGAAAAACAGACCTGATCTGTTGCTCAGTGGTCCAAAGTCCTCTTTTCTGATGAGAGCAACTTTTGCATCTCATTTGGAAGCCAAGGACCCAGAGTATGGAGGAAGAATGGAGAGGCACACACTGCAAGATGCTTGAAGTCCAGTGTGAAGTTTCCACAGTCTGTGTTGATTTGGGGAGCCATGTCATCTGCTGGTGTTGGCCCACTGTGCTTCATTAAGTCCAGGGTCAACGCAGCCATCTACCAGGAGATTTTGGAGCACTTTATGCTTCCTTCCGCAGACGATCTTTATGGGGATGCTGACTTCATTTTCCAGCAGGAACTTGGCACCTGCCCACACTGCCAAAAGCACCAAAACCTCGTTCAATGACCGTGGGATTACTGTGCTTGATTGGCCAGCAAACTCGCCTGACCTGAACCCCATAGAGAATCTATGGGGCATTGCCAAGAGAAAGATGAGAGACATGAGACCGAACAATGCAGAAGAGCTGAAGGCCGCTATTGAAGCATCCTGGTCTTCCATAACACCTCAGCAGTGCCACAAGCTGATAGCTTCCATGCCACGCCGCATTGAGGCAGTAATTGCTGCAAAAGGGGCCCAAACCAAGTACTGAGTACATATGCATGCTTAAACTTTTCAGAGGTCCGATATTTTTCTACATGCAATCCTTGTTTTATTGATTGCATGTAATATTCTAATTTTCTGAGGTTGTGGATTTGGGGTTTTCATGAGCTGTAAGCCATAATCATCACCATTATGACAAATCACGGCTTGAACTATCTTGCTTTGCATGTAATGAGTCTATCTCATATATTAGTTTCACCTTTTAAGTTGCATTACTGAAATAAATGAAAAATTTGAATATCTTGCAAAAAGTTTTGAGTTTTTCACCTGTATGTATGTATGTGTATATATATATATATATATATATATATATATATATATATATATATATATATACATACACACACACACACACCCTATATTGCCAAAAGTATTGGGACACCTGCCTTTACACATACGCAAACTTTAATGGCATCCCAGCCTTAGTCCGTAGGGTTCAATAGTGAGTTGGCTCCACCCTTTGCAGCTATAACAGCTTCAACTCTTCTGGGAAGGATGACCACAAGGTTTAGGAGGGTGTCTATGGGAAGGTTTGACCATTCTTCTAGAAGCGCATTTGTGAGGTCAGGCATTGATGTCAGACAAGAAGGCCTGGCTCAAAGTCTCTGCTCTAATTCATCCCATAGGTGTTCTATCAGGTTGGGGTCAGGACTCTGTGCAGGCCAGTCAAGTTTCTCCACCCCAAATTTGCTCATCCATGTCTTTATGGACCTTGCTTTGTGCACTGGTGCGCAGTCATGTTGGAACAAGAAGTGGCCATCCCCAAACTGTTCCCAAAAAGTTGTGAGCATGAAATTGTCCAAAATGTCTTGGTATGGTGACACCTTAAGAGTTTCCTTCACTGGAACTAAGGGGCCAAGTCCAACCCCTGAAAAACAACAAGTCTATTGGATTTCCAGACAGAGAAGTATGATATGTCACTCCAGAGAACACGTCTCCACTGTTCTAGGGTCCAGTAGTGGCGTTCTTTACACCACTGCATACAATGCTTTGCATTGCACTTAATGATGTAAGGCTTGGATGCAGCTGCTCGGCCATGGAAACCCATTTCATGAAGCTTTCTAAGCACTGTTGTTGTGCTAATCTGAAGGCCACACAAAATTTCAAGGTCTTAAGCTATTGACTCTACAGACAGTTGGTGACTTCTGCGCACTGTGCGCTTCAGCAGGTGCTGACCCCGCTCTGTCATTTTATGTGGCTTACCATTTGGTGGCTGAGTTGCTGTTGTTCCCAGTTGCTTCCCCTTTGTTATAATACCACTAACAGTTGACTGTGGAATATTTAGTACCAAGGAAATTTCATGGATGGATGTGTTGCACAGGTGGCAACCTATCACGGTACCACGCTTGAATTCACTGAGCTCCTGAGAGTGATCCATTCTTTCACAAATGTTTGTAGAAGCAGTCTGCATGCCTAGCTGCTTGATTTTATGCACCTGTGGCCATGGAGGTGATTGGAACACCTGAATCCAATGATTTGGAGGGCTGGCCCAATAGTTTTTGGTTATATATTATTATTACACAGTATTTATATAGCACCAAAGGATTTGCTCATCACTGTACAATAGCGGGGGGGACAGAACATGAGACAAGACAGAAACAATACAATACACAAGGAGTTCGAGGGCCCTGCTCTTTCGATCTTACAATCTAGGAGGGAGAGGAAAGTGGTACAGGAGGAAATGGCTGTGGGGGATGGAGTGGTGGGAGGAGTGGAGGAGGTCAGTTGTTAGGTGAGGGTGAGGTAGGCTTCCCTAAAGAGGTGGGTTTTCAGGGTGCACCTGAAGGTGAGGAGGGTAGGTGACAGTCTGATGGATTGGGTAGGGAGTTCCAGAGGATGGGGGAAGTCCTGGAGAAATCCTGCAATCGGGCGTGGGAGAAGGAGATCAGGGAGCTAGAGAGTAGGAGGTCCTGTGAGGAGTGAAGGGCACGGGTAGGGTAGTATTTGGGTATCAGGTTGGTTAGTTAGTTTGGGGCGGCGTTGTGAATGGCTTTGTAGGTCAGAGTTAGCAGTTTGAATTTGATGCATTGGGCAATCGGGAGCCAGTGAAGGGATTGGCAGAGGGGGGAGGCAGATGTGTAGCGGTGAGGTGGATGAGTCTCGCCACTGAGTTCAGGATTGACTGGAGTGGGGATAGCGTTTGTTTGGGTAGGCCAGTGAGAAGGGAGTTGCAGTAGTCCAGGCGTGAGATGATGAGGGAGTGTACGAGTTGTTTAGTAGTATCTGGGGTGAGGAACGTACGTATCTTGGAGATGTTGCGGAGGTGGAGCCTGCATGATCTTGATAGTAATTGTCAGGAATGGACTGGCCAGCAATGGTGGGACTCACCTGCCTTTTGATCTGCAGTACCAGGGCTGGCCAGCGGGTGCTCCCAGCAATCAGAGACTCAACCTTTCAGCCAGCTAACACCTGGAACTGATGATGCTGGGGTATTTAAGGGATGGCCAGACCCACAGACTCTGCCTTGGTGTGTGTTTGTCCTGGGCCCTGTATCTGTCCTGCATCCTGTTTCTGTTCCTTTGCTGACCCTCTGTACTACGCTGCTTGCTACCTGTTCTGATCCCTGGCTTGTGACCCTGACCATCTCTCTGCTTGACCCTCTGTACTACGCTGCTTGCTACCTGCTGAACCTGGCCTGTGACCCCGACCATTCTCTGCTTGCTCCCCCTGTACCTACCTGCCCAATTGATATTGACCCGGCCTGCCTGACGACGCTTGCTTGTATGTACTGTTATCTGTGGGTGATTGGTTGGGTTTGTTTGCACTGTATTATGTTTAGTATTGCACTGCGTTTATGTTTGTATGGTTAGTGTTAATAAATTGTATTGTTTATCACATATCTGAAGTCTGCGTTTCCCTGCGTCAGTCACACATCTCTGGTCATACCTGGGAGCCCTGACATTACACCAAGGCCAATCCTGACCAGAAGTGGCTGCACAGGGAAGCCATCTTGGCTTGTTGATGGGAAGGATGGATCTTGATGAGGTTGAATATTTATATCTGCTAGTGTTTGATGACAGGGAGTATGCTTATCAAACTCTGAAGGAGTATCCCCGGGATGAACTGCTAGAATGTATACGGCTCGCTCATGTTCTAGTAGATCAGGGCACAGAGTTCTCTGAGGTGCAGCCATTGATTGAGGTTTGTGCTGAGTTGGTTTCATCTGGTACCCCCGAATGCAGGGATGAATTTTTGCCACCATTTAGTGCAGACCAGGTAGAGACCCCCTGGTGTGGTTATTAGAGGATGATGTGGGTTACTTTCTGGAGCGTTATTCCACATGTTCACCACAGACACTAAGAGATTGTATAAACGCAGTGCAGTCATTGACCAGACAGGCTTTGTGTAAGCTCAGCTTTGTTCAACCCATACTGCAGACATGGACAGATTTGTTGCACCCAGCCTCCGTCAGCTTACAAAGACCCAGTCCTGCTTCTAATCTATTTCCTCAAAACTCTATTCCTGCATTCCCAACAGCTCCTCCTGCCCTGCTATCTACCGCATGTCAGTACCCTGTTCCCACTCGCTGCACCTATCCTGCCTTTAACCCTGTAAAAGAGCCCTCTGTAGCAACCTCTCCCTCTCCTGTTCCATCCTCCAGTTCTTCTCTGTCTCCAGCTGCTCCATTCGTTTGCAGACCTGCGTTTACTTGCAGTGCTCCAGGAGTTAAAACCAGAAAAAAAGCGAAAATTCTTTCCAACCAATACCATCCTGCCAGTATCCAAACCGGTGAGCCTGCCTTCCGTGGTTCAGCCTGAAGCCTCTACTCAGCCTGAAGCCTCTACTCAGCCTGAAGCCTCTACTCAGCCTGAAGCCTCTACTCAGCCTGAAGCCTCTACTCAGCCTGAAGCCTCTACTCCGCCTGAAGCCTCTCTTCAGCCTGATGCCGGTACGCAGCCTAATGCCTCTACTCGGCCTGATGCCTCTCTTCAGCCTGATGCCTGTACGCAGCCTGATGCCTCTCTTCAGCCTGATGCCTCTCTTCAGCCTGATGCCTCTCTTCAGCCTGATGCCTGTATGCAGCCTGATGCCTCTACTCGGCCTGAAGCCTCTACTCGGCCTGAAGCCTCTACTCGGCCGGACGCCGGCATTCAGCCTGATGCCTCTACCCAGCATGATGAACTGATCCAGCCTGACGATCCTATTAGGCCAGTTGACTCGATGCCCGCTGTTGATCCAGATGATCCGGTACCTGATCCGGTGCCCGCTGTCGAGCCAAATGACCTGATGCCTGGTGACCCAGTGCCCGCTGTCATACCTGGTGACCCGATGCCCGCTGTCGAGCCAGACAATCCGGGTACCTGATGACCCGGTGCCCACTGTCGTGCCTGTTGACTCGGAGCCCACTGCCTTGCCAGATGACGCGGTGCCCGCTGTCGAGCCAAATGACCTGATGCCTGGTGACCCGATGCCCGCTGTCCAGTCAGACGATCCAATGTCTGACCCAGTGCCCGCGGTCATACCAGTTGACTCGGAGCCCACTGCCTTGCCAGATGACGCGGTGCCCGCTGTCGAGCCAAATGACCTGATGCCTGGTGACCCAGTGCCCGCTGTCCAGTCAGACGATCCAATGTCTGACCCAGTGCCCGCGGTCATACCAGTTGACTAGGAGCCCACTGCCTTGCCAGATGACGCGGTGCCCGCTGTCGAGCCAAATGACCTGATGCCTGGTGACCCGATGCCCGCTGTCCAGCCAGACGATCCAATGTCTGACCAGTGCCAGCGGTCATCCCAGTTGACTCGGAGCCCACGGTTGTGCCTGGTGACTCGGTGCCCGCCGCCCCGCCTGGGGGCCCGAGACCTGTCGTTCCGCCTAAGGGCCCGAGACCTGTCGCTCCGCCTGGGGGTCCAGCGCCCGCCGCTCCGCCTGAGGGTCCGAGACCTGTCGCTCCGCCTGGGGGTCCGGCACCCGCCGCTCCGCTTGAGGGCCCGAGACCTGTCGCTCCTCCTGGGGGTCCGGCGCCCGCCGCTCCGCCTGAGGGCCCGAGACCTGTCGCTCCGCCTGGGGGTCCGGCGCCCGCCGCTCCGCCTGAGGGCCCGAGACCTGTCGCTCCACCTGGGGGTCCGGCGCCCGCCGCTCCGCCTGAGGGCCCGAGTGACCTGTCGCTCCATCTGGGGGTCCGGCGCCCCCGCTCCGCCTGAGGGCCCGAGACCTGTCGCTCCTCCTGGGGGTCCGGCGCCCGCCGCTCCGCCTGAGGGCCGAGACCTGTCGCTCCGCCTGGGGGTCCGGCGCCCGCCGCTCCGCCTGAGGGCCTGAGACCTGTCGCTCCATCTGGGGGTCCGGCGCCCGCCGCTCCGCCTGAGGGCCCGAGACCAGTCGCTCCGCCTGGGGGTCCGGCGCCCGCCGCTCCGCCTGGGGGCACGATGCCTGTCGCCCCGCCTGGGGGCACGATGCCTGTCGCCCCGCCTGGGGGCACGATGCCTGTCGCCCCGCCTGGGGGCACGATGCCTGTCGCCCCGCCTGGGGGCCCGGCGCCCCGCTGCCCCGCCCGGGGGCACGGTGCCTGTCGCCCCGCCCGGGGGCACGGTGCCTGTCGCCCCGCCCGGGGGCCCGGTGCCTGTCGCCCCGTCCGGGGGCCCGGTGCCTGTCGCTCCGCCCGGGGGCCCGGTGCCTGTCGCTCCGCCCGGGGGCCCGGTGCCTGTCGCTCCGCCCGGGGGCCCGGTGCCTGCCGCTCCGCCTGGTAATCCGATGTGCCTCTGCCCGGAGTCCTGCCCGATGTGCCTCTGCCCGGAGTCCTGCCCGATGTGCCTCTGCCCGGAGTCCTGCCCGATGTGCCTCTGCCCAGTGTGCCTCTGCTTGATGTGCCTCTGCCCGGAGTCCAGCCCGGTGTGCCTCTGCCCGGAGTCCAGCCCGGCGTGCCTCTGCCCGGAGTCCAGCCCGGTGTGCCGCTGCCCGGGTGTGCCAGTCTTTGATATCCCGCCAGTTACCAGATCCGGGCGGTGGAACATATTGCCCAGCTAGGACTGTTTGGAGCGTCCTGAGGCCGCTCCTTGAGGGGGGGGGTGGGTACTGTCAGGAATGGACTGGCCAGCAATGTGTGGGACTCACCTGCCTTTTTGATCTGCAGTACCAGGGCTGGCCAGCGGTGTGCTCCCAGCAATCTTTCAGCCTCAACCTTTCAGCCAGCTAACACCTGGAACTGATGATGCTGGGGTATTTAAGGGATGGCCAGACCCACAGACTCTGCCTTGGTGTGTGTTTGTCCTGGGCCCTGTATCTGTCCTGCATCCTGTTTCTGTTCCTTTGCTGACCCTCTGTACTACGCTGCTTGCTACCTGTTTCTGATCCCTGGCTTGTGACCCTGACCATCTCTCTGCTTGACCCTCTGTACTACGCTGCTTGCTACCTGCTGAACCTGGCCTGTGACCCCGACCATTCTCTGCTTGCTCCCCCTGTACCTACCTGCCCAATTGATATTGACCCGGCCTGCCTGACGACGCTTGCTTGTATGTACTGTTATCTGTGGGTGATTGGTTGGGTTTGTTTGCACTGTATTATGTTTAGTATTGCACTGCGTTTATGTTTGTATGGTTAGTGTTAATAAATTGTATTGTTTATCACATATCTGAAGTCTGCGTTTCCCTGCGTCAGTCACACAACTCTGGTCACACCTGGGAGCCCTGACAGTAATTGGACGTGAGGTAGGAAAGAAAGGTTTGAGTCCAGGGTGACACCCAGGACTTTGGCAGGTGGGAGTGATGGTAGCGTTGTTAGTAGTGATGGAGAGGATGGGGGGGGGGGGCGCCACGGGGTGGGGGGAAGACCAGAAGCTCGGTTTTGGACAGGTTTAATTTGAGGAAATGGAGCGACATCCAGTCTGATATGTCGTTCAGGGAGGTGGGCGATGCGGGCAGGAGAGTGGGCAGAGAGTGAGGGGGTGAGGTGGGGGGGTGGAGAGGTAAATTTGTGTGTCGTCGGCATAGAGGTGGTAATTGATATATATATATATATATATATATATATATACACAAAAACAAATGAGAAGTAGGTTTCCAAGTTGCAAAAATTCTCTTTACTTCAAGTGTATCTGCATACAAAAATTAGAGTGACTGCGCAGTATTGAAGCATGCTCTTCATCAAGCTACAATTGTTTTTGGACGTTTTATATGAATGGAATTATGGGAGCCCACCAATTGAGATCCCCAACTGATAAGATTTGCAATATAACAGGAGTTACCTGCTCCAATTTCTGAGATATATATATATATATATATATAAATTAAAGTGAATTTATTAATAGTAAAACAAAAGACAAACAGCTAACAATTAACCGAATGACAAAATACCTCACCACCAAATGCGGGCCATACACGACTAGAAAATCATTCAAAAAAGCGTTTGATATGCTCGACCGTTCGACTTTCAAAATGTTAGTGGGCTAGTTTGATTATCGAAATGCAACGTTTTATGAAAAAAAGAACGTCATGTTGAATTTTTTTGAGCAAAATGATCGGTTTTCTAAACATTTGTGGAATCAATCGAAAACAGTTTTTAAAAAATCTACATCACATTGTGGCTTGTGGTAAAAAGTAACACCGGAGGAACTAGCACAAAAAAAATATTTTTTCTTTTAAATATACAATTGTGCTTCTCTATATATGTACAGCGCTAGAGAAAAGACCCAACCATGGAGCGACATAATATAATTCCCTGGGACTCTGCACAGAAAGGCGTAAAAAAAAAAACCCACGGTTTTGAAAAATGTGACTTTTTCCCCCTTTTTGGGAGAAAAACAGGTTATTAAAAAACACCCCCAAAATCTGT